AAACAAAAACAAAAACAAAACAAAAAAAAATGTCAGAAATGTTATATATCTTTTATCCAAGCAAGTGAAAATGGTGACAAAACAACCCCTCATAATCAACAACTATGCAATAAAAAAAAAAAAAAAAAGAAAGAAAAAGAAGAAAAAGGAGCTCCATGATACAATAGTAGCAAGTAGGAGGGTTGTTTCGGATGTATGCAAATGAGTGGAACAACAGCATTGTTATGGTCATCATCTTATTACGGAATTATTGGTCAGTAGTATATGCCAGTAGGCTCTGTGGCGGCGCCCCCTGCAGGGTCAGATCTGCATCTGCTCCAGGTATTTGTAGGTGGGGTTCTCGTAACCGTGGTTCTGCATCTTGTTAAGGTGGCGCTCCTCCGGTGTCAACATGGGGTCCACCTGCCACCAAGAGCACAAAACACACTCCTTTTAGGGCACTGGTGGGAGTTTTTCAGGCTGGCTATTGGGCTGGAATGAAAACCAAGTTGAATGAGAAGATCAGTTTTGATTTTAAATTATTTTATTATTTATAATGATAATGGGGGGCCCGGTAGTCGCGTGGTTAGCATGTTGACTTCACAGTGCAGAGGTACCGGGTTCAATTCCAGCTCCGGCCTTCCTGTATGGAGTTTGCATGTTCTCCCCGTGCTTGCGTGGGTTTTCTCCGGGTCCTCCAGTTTCCTCCCACATTCCAAAAACATGCATGGCAGGCTGATTGAACACTCTAAATTGTCCCTAGGTATGAGTGTGAGCGTGGATGGTTGTTCGTCTGTGTGTGCCCTGCGATTGGCTGGCAACCGGTTCAGGGTGGCCCCGCCTACTGACAGCGTATGTAAGTACAGATGTACAGTATTGGTTTTTATTGGTGGGAAAGAAATGCCACATTTACAGCAGCTGACTGCCAAATTTAATGCTATTATAAAATAACAATTAGAAACTTACTGCATCATACCTGCTCAAATTTAACCATAATATATCGAATTGAATTGTAATCATACCGAATCGAATCATTCCACTCTAAACAATACTTTTCTTTATTCGTATCGCACCCCTTGTACCGAGATACGTATCAATGTATCAAATTCTCTCTTATTGGAGTGATGCACACCCTATATATACATATACCTGTATATATATATATATATATATATAGAGAGAGAGAGAGAGAGAGAGAGAGAGAGAGAGAGAGAGAGAGAGAGAGAGAGAGAGAGAGAGAGAGAGAGAGTGTGTGTCTCTCCGGGTACTCTGGTTTCCTCCCACACACCAAAAACATGCATGGCAGGCTGTTTGAACACTCCAAATTGTCCCTAGGTGTGAGCGTGAGCGCGAATGGTTGTTGGTCTCTGTGTGCCTTGAGATTGGCTGGCAACCGATTCAGGGTGTTGTTCCCTGCCTACTGCCCGAAGACTGCTGGCATAGGCTCCAGCACCCGCCGCGACCCTTGTGAGGATCAAGCGGATCGGAAAATGGATGGAATGGATGGGGACACACACACACACACGCACACGCACGCACGCACGCACGCGCGCGCA